TAATCTTTACACATTAGGCCAGTAGGCGGAGAGTAGACGGTCTTTTGTGGCTGTTCGAACACATTCGACCACATGAGTGTTTAACACTATGAAAACAATCTGGCCAAATGCGTTTTCGACTACCTCTGGAAGTGGTCAAAATGTTTAAACCTGTATTTAGTGTCGTCCACTTGTGATCTGATCGACCAAAACGCATCTTAATACCAGGTGTAAACAGGGCCTCAGAGCTCCAAGAGCTCATCTATAGATTGAAGAACTTCATTCTTCTTGTTTGGAGTGTGATGATATTCATTAACCCCCCGTGTCCCTGGGAACAAAAGTGAAGAGTGGTTGTTAGATAGAAGGGCTGTCGCTGATGAGGACTCTCTCATTTGAGAGGGTGGGGTCTATGCTTTCAAAGCTAGCTTGCTTTTGCTAGCCTTTCTAAAAATTGCCTACCCTATTTTAACATAAATGTAAACTATAATTCATTTATTTTCATATAATTGCAATTAGTTAGTGAACTGGAAAAAATGGGGTAGAAACCATTTTCACACAGAACTTGCTTGTAAATTTGGCAAACAATTACACTGCATGTTACACAATGATTTAACCCTCTGGTTATCTTCGGGGTCTTTTTAACCCGCCAATGACTTTTGGTCAAATGTCAAAAAAAAAAAAAATCTGTTTGTCCAAATGGTACTTTCTATGGCTCTTAACACTTTTTTTGGAATGATATCTGTTTTTATGTTAGCGTGAAAAAAATGAACAATGCACACAGGAATACGTTTGTAAGGCTATAAAACTGTAGAGGGTAACTGTTTTTGTTTTTTTTCTTCTCAGTATGTAATTTAACTGTTCATTTTTGTCTTGTAATTTGTCAAATAAAATGCAGAACCACCACAAATATAAATTAGTGACAATGACACGACGAAAATGTACACACACACACACACACACACACACACAGGAATACATTAGTGAGGCTATAAAACTATAGAGGCTAACTTTTTTTCTCAAAATGAAATAATTGTTCATTTCTGTTCATTTTTGTTCTTTTACAGTTCGTAACTGAAACTTTGAAACATTTCTCTTTGTAACATCTTGTTGAGGTTTGATTCTAATCATAATGTAACATTATTGAAAAACTTTGTCAGTACAAAAAATGCTATATGTATGTATGTATATATATATATATATATATATATATATATATATATATATTGTTATAATTGTGATTTTAGAATATTTAGATATGAATCCAACTGGAAAAACTTTGTTAGTCAAATAGCAAATAGTTTATAGTGGAGGTCTTTAGCCATCCATATACAGTATATATAATATAAAACATCCTTTTTAAGTTTTAATGAAAGTAAGACAGAAGTGATGTTTTTTGGTGGTACCTCTGAAACCCCCTGTGTAAATCTGGGTTCCTTGAGTCAATATATTAAGCCAACAGTCACTAATCTAGGGGTTAAAATTGACCCTGACCTGAAGCTGGACAGACAGATACGGTCAGTGGTTAAAACAAGTTTTTTTCAATTGAGGCAATTGGCCAAAATCAAACCATTTCTTTCAAAACAGCATTTTGAGACAGTAATCCACGCCTTTGTTACCACTCGGTTGGATTACTGTAATGCACTTTATGTGGGGGTCAGTGGGTCCTCTATTGCTCATCTTCAGATGGTGCAAAATGCTGCTGCACGTCTTTTAACTGGAACACGTAAATACGAGCACATTTCCCCTATTTTATCCTCACTCCATTGGCTGCCTATATATCATAGGATCCATTTTAAGATTCTTTTATTTGTGTTTAAAGGTCTAAATGGTCTTGCTCCACCTTACATCTCGGAGCTGCTACACCCCTATAGGCCCACTCGTTCTCTCAGGTCAGCTGACCAACTGCTCCTAAATGTGCCTAAAACAAAGCGCAAGTTAAAAGGGGACCGTGCTTTTGCTGTAGCAGCTCCGAAATTGTGGAACGATCTACCTTTGAACATTAGACAGGCATCATCATTGCCTGTTTTTAAGTCTCTTCTAAAAACCTATCTTTATTCTTTGGCTTTTGATAAGTTAAACTGAAAATCCAGGTTTTGGTTATATTGATTTTATTGTTTCATTGTATGGCTGTGTAAGGCTTTTTATCTATGTATTGTTTTACTGTACATGTCAGTCATGAAACTGATAATCCAGGTTAGGTTAGATTGATTTTATTGTTTTCTTCTATGGTTATGTAGGGCTTTTTATATATGTATTGTTTTACTGTACAGCACTTTGTGTCCCAATTTTTTGGGAATTTAAAGTGCTCTATAAATAAATCTTTATATATATATATATATATATATATATTAAACTGCATTTTCCAAAAAATTGACAAAAATCTTACATTAAACCATGTAAAATTATCCATCTTATCTCCATGAATGAAAATTAGAAATCTGGGTCCTTTATAAAGTGCATTTTTCAAACAATGCCGCTTTTTTTTGTAAAAAGCCTATTTAAATATACATTTATTAATTAATTTATAGAAATTTAAAAGATATCAAAAATACTCCAAAAACTGCACAAATGTTGAGTAAAACCGTTAATAAACAGAGTAAAATTTAATTTGTTAAAAAAAATATATATTATACTGTTACAAAATTGAATCTTATTGTCTGGGGTCCCTGGAGCCCCCAAAGATAATGTGTAGACACAAATTAAGATATTACAGGGGTTAAACAAATTTTGATATAAATTCTTATAAAAAATATTTTTGTTTTATTTACAAGGTCGAAAAATTATTTTCTACTCTGTGTCAAAAACATTTCATTCAGTTTGCGCTTAAGTATATTCTTCAAAAGTATTTTTTTTTCCATAAGTACTCTGTTTAAAAGTAAGTGGATAGGTTTATAGATCTTGTTTTATTTTGTACAGGAAGCCCTTCTTTAGCAGATACTGCTGACATGCTTGCCATCTGTTTGATGACCATGCTCCCATATGAGACTTAAAACCATCTTTTGTAAGTCGCTCTGGATAAGAGCATCTGCTAAATGCCTTAAATGTAATACTGTGTGTGGATCTGTTTTTTCTGAATCCTTTTGAAAGTGGAGCCAACATGAGCATATTTTGAAGGGAAAAAAGTGCATAATCAAATATTAATATTAAAAATGGGCCCCTCTTGTATTAGAATTTTTTTAGTTTTGAATAATTTTGACTAAAGATTGTGCACCTCGTCAAACTATCACTGACTGATGAAAACATTAAAGGTACTGTATGTAATTTTTCATGACGTTCACTGCAGTGCCGTCGCATAGACTGTATATAAAAGGAGAGCGGCTCGGGAGCACGCGTGCACGTCACATCTGATGATTTCGCAGAAAATCCGACCCAGAGACTTCACATAGAAATAGGAATACTGGCCATCAGAGGTAATAGCAAAACCCGACAAGTGGATCATTGTAATGCGTGATTACAACCGCTTTACACACATGCAATAAAAAAGGATTCATTTTAGAAGAAAAGTTACATATATGACCTTTAAAACAGATGAAAACATGCAATCACATTACATTGAAATGCAGTTGCTTGCATGCTGCTTTAAAAAAAAAAATCCATCACTGCCTTTCTGAACAGAGATGTTTATTGTGCTTCAGCCAGTGTCTCTCAGCACTACAACCTGCTAAAGGTCATGCTGGAGTCATGCCTGGAGACAGCTTAATTGGAAATCAAACACAGACCGTGAGAAAGGGAGAAAGAAAAGAAGGCAACGGATGTTAAAGGACATGAGTCAAGAAAAAAGCAGTGAGTGAAATCTCTCAAGACCGATATTGATTTACGCTGAATAGAAAAAATGAGCCTGGCGACGGGTGTGGTGGCGAGAGAAAGCAATAAATAAAAGATTAAATGTCCTGACATTGGTTGGACAGAAATCAATGGAAATAATAATGTTACAATGCACATTTCCATTAGACTGAAGGCGGTCCGCATGTCTAATGTATCATTCAAAGCGAGCAGGTCTGCTTACTCCCTTATTTGTTTTATGAATATAATTTATAGCACACTTCAGAGCAGATCATATCACAAGGAAGGTTTTGGGATTTCGTTCTGACATACTGTCTCCTTTTAAAGCCTTGCAATGTAAATAAATAATCATGCATCCTGTTTCAACTCTCAGGGCTGGATTATGGGCCGGAACAATGGGCCTCGGACTGTCAGGGGCCCCTAATCTTTTGTGTTGGGATGTGAATGTGCACTTGTAGTTTTAAAAAAAAAAAATCATATTAATGGAATAAACGGCCACTTAAGTGTGCAAAGTACACTTTGAAGTAATACTAAATAAAAAGCTTTATTTGAAAGTACATTTTAAATCATGTTCTGGTCATCTTTTGTCATGCTTTGAAGAACACACCTATTTTTATGTGTTTAGAGCATACTTAGAGCACTTGATTATAAGGTTTTAATTGTATGATATTACATTTAAAGTTAATAGCCTACTTTTTATGTACACTGTAAAACATATTTTCAAGATTTGTTATCACAACATATTTTCTTTTGTCAAATCAACTTTATAATAATTTATTTAGTTGAGATAACATATTATTTTGAGTTTCTGATGGTTAAATTAATCTATTTCATTGCATTAACTCACTTTTTCCAGTTCAATCAACTTAAAATTTTAAGGCAACCCAGGTTACTTACTTTTTTAAGTTAAACCAACAATATTATTTTACAGGGTAGTAATCACAACATTTTTTCTTTTGTCAAATCAACTTAAATAATTTATTTAGCTCAGATAACATATAATTTTGAGTTTCTGATGATTAAATTAATCTCCTTTATTGTATTAACTCACTTTTTCCAGTTCAATTAACTTAAAAGTTTAAGACAACCAGGTTACATACTTTTTTAAGTTAAACCATCAATATTTTTTTACAGTGTATGTATAGACAAAGTACAGTTTGAACAGAGGGACTGTTGAAAAATTGTTAAGTGCATCACACTTGACTTGACCCATGATTTTTGCTCCATGTGTCTTATAGTGTCCTCCTTAACTGAAGGAAATTGAAGGAAAGGATGTACAGTTGGCTAATCCGAAGATATCGAACAAAGTGTATTTTGACGGGTATGAATTTAATTTCACGCTATTTTACAGCATTGGCAGAACATTCTGGGTTTTAATGTGAAAAAGTGCTTTCTTCACTTTTTTGCTTTTCTGAATATATTGAAATTGAAAGATTTACAGATTGACCATTTAAATTGTATCTATTCTCAGAGAGGGGGGGGGGGGGTTGTGCAGTTTATGGAAGTACACAATGTTGTTTTGAACAATTTTGTATATTTTAAGAATTGTATATCCTACAATTTTTGTGAAGACTTTTAAAGAAATTTAAAAAAAAGATTACATCAAAGTAGTCACAAGTCAAATTATGTCATACGATAAGTTGTGGTTACCTCATTTTTTTAAGGCAACGGGTTTCCACAATTTAGAAATTAAATTACTTATGGTGCGTTCACACCGGACGCGAATGGCGCGTCAGGCGCGAATGATTTCAATGTTAAGTCAATGCAAAGACGCGAATGAGGCGTTTAGCTAACATTATTTAATACACTTTTGAACTCTGATACATTTTCAATTAATTGCAATTAACATGCAATTAAGTGTCCAAAAACATTACATATAGTTTGCACTTCAGTTTAAGCAGTCTGTTTTCACATTCGGGACTGAATTAGGGGCCTCGGAAGGTCAGGGGCCCCAGGCGGACATCCATCAGAACACCTGAGCCTAGACTGCAAGGCTAAAACAGGCACACGCAAGATAAAAACATATTTCAGGAGCCTCTCAAGACCATGATCTGGTCTTGAATGTTAATCTTTGAATGAGCAATGCAAAAAATGTGTGTGCTCCCTCAATTTTGGTCTATATTGCTACAAGGCCGGTTTCTTTCTTTAATCATTCCGCTTCGTTGTCATTTAATTTGTTTTTAATTGTGAACAAGCCATCACTGACTGATGGATCATTCAATTAGTTTCCCTTCAGTCTGTCTTTTGGGATGTTTTACTCCCTAATTGAGTTGTATAAAACTACTTTAGACATCTCACCTCATCCCAGCATGCAAGTGGACCAAAACCCCAGCAATATTTCCCTTTTGAATCTTTTTTTCCTCGTTTTTTATTTCCTTCTCATCTTTTTTGTATAAAGAATTCACACTCATACATAGAGAGGATTCGCTGAGTGTTGCTTTTTTGACGAAGCAAGAAAATGATACAGACATCAGATATCTCAGCTTGGCTATATAATTCCTTAGTGAATTAACCTTGGTTTTTCTTCATTTGTTTTCACATGGAAAATTCCCTCGAGGGAACAATTATGATTAAAGTGGAGTTGTCTGAAGAAAATAAGAAGAGAGTGTTTAGCCAGTGATACTGATGTCATTCGACATACTGCGTTAGCTTGCTAGTGTAACCATTGATGAAATAAACTAATGTGATATTGTCTATGGTTAACTCATATGTACGTATGCGATACCCTGCATGAAATTACCTCTCTGTTGATTTAATGGTGTGCCCTATGCCTTGATCTCTGTAATGGTATGTTAATAGAGCACATCTTTAACCCTGCTCTAGGCAAGATCAGACACATTAAGATGTGGTGTGGTGAATCAACGGTGCAATTATATTTATATTTAGTTAACACATGGTGTGGTTGGTGTAGAAGCCTTGAAATGTCTTCCAGCATACTCTGACTGATGTGATTATGTTGAGATCGGCATTATGGGTAATATTTCACAATCTGCTGGATCTTATAAGAATTGAAATTTACTTTGCTGAGGGGAAAACATTAATGCTTTTCACAGATTTAGTTGGAATCTAAACGTATTGATTGCAGATTGCATCGAATGTTTCCCAACTCGTTATTTTGGTGTAATAAGTTGCTGTCTCATTCAGATTTTGCATAATAATAGAGGTAAATATGTATCTTAAGTGCAATCTAAATGGATTGTGGTGGAATTACCGCCATCTTTTGGTATGATGAAGATGTGAGTCTGGAGAAGAACTTGCTGTGTCTGCTGAATAAATTCCTCCAATCCACAAAAGGAAACAAAAGCTTCTGTGATTGTGCTTTTGGGACAAACATTGCAATATTGTTATTTAATGGCATTAATTCTCAGTTGCTAATACCAAAGTAGAGGAGTGGCAAAAAGTGATGTTTGGAGGGGAAATTTGTTTTTAATGACCCTACAAGTTTATATAGTTTTTAAAACATTTTAAAAATGAAGGAGGAACAAAACACTAATCTTGGTTAAGGTAATTTTACGTTCCCAGAACATTCTGAGAACATCCCCGCTGGTGTCAAGGACGTTGCCTTGTAACGATGCCATCCCACGACGTTCCCAGACAGTCACGATATGGAGTTCTTTAAAGGGTTTGGGGAAGTTATTTGGAGGACCTTCAGGAAAAATTCAGGACGTTCTGGGAAAGTTTAGAGGACAATATTTAATTCAGAAATCCAATGTTTCCAAAACATTCTGAGAACGTCCCCCTGGTGTCAGGAACGTCACTTGGTAATTGGTTCCCAGAACGTTCCCAGAACATTCTCCTTGCGTTATAAAAATGGAACCTAAAAATAACCTACGTGGAACGTTCCTATAACGTTTTTGTTTGGTTCCTAAAAAAATAACCTCATGGGACCATTTGGGAACGTTAGGGGAACTTTCTGTGTTTGCTGGGTACCTGCTCCATTAAAAGAGGGAGAGTGTTTTCACATTTGGCTCCTAAACTCTGGAATAGCCTTTATGATAAAGTTTGGGGCTCAGATTCACTCTCCCAGTTTAGATTAAAGATGCATCTTTTGAGCCAAGCATTCTCATAATGCATCTCATAACCTTGTGCTCCAGTTATATCAGATGAAATGCACATGATTATATATTATAACAACAGCTATGCTAATTATGCTCCATTTGCCCATTCCGGGGTTATAACACCAGCTCCAGTTTGGACCAAGCCTCTGAAGATTTCAGATGACCCAACACCTGTGAAGAGATGATGCCAACAACTCTTAATCAACATATTCAAAACTGCCAACTTTTCAATATGGTCACAACATAGCCTAGTAAAATGCTCATTGTTTTGTACTTAAATAAATAAAGGATTTTAGCAGCATTGGCCTATTTGTATTGTCTTAGAACTACATTTCTGTCACATGAATATTGCTTTGACACAATCACCTCTGAAAACAGATTACTCTTGATTATCATGTATACATTCATTTTCTGTAAAGCTGCTTGGAACAATATGTAGGTATTGTAAAAAGTGCTAATGTGAATTTAAATTAATTTTAATTGAACAAGAAAAACTGGGCGGTACTGAGGAATTGATTAGATGGTTGTTGTTTACTATTGCTGATGTCATGTGAATGACAGGTTGATCCCTCCCTTGTGCCAGAAAACACGTCATTGGAGAAGAGAAGGGATGTTGCTGCAAGAAGGAGGGATGATATTTTGATGCACAGATGAATCATTTATAATAAATGCTGCAATACTCCATATAAAATAAGAGTTGTCAATTTTGATTGGTGACACTAATTAACCGAAAGAATGAAGGGTGGACTGTTAGACACTTCATCCTTATAGATGAGGGGGAGGGCTAGTCTCGGATGACGGATGACTAAATAATAACATCATAGACTTTAGATGATATCCATACACGGTAGTACAGAGGGCATAGTTTAGGCTAGTTCTAGTTTTGATTGTGTATTGTTTAACTTGTTTTGCCCATTTTTATAGCAAACAGTGAGTTTCACATTAATGATAGGAAGACTTTGGCCACCAATTCGCGGGTTTATTTAGTAGGGACCTATTCTGCCGCTTTAATCTTCCATATTGAATTATATATATATATATATATATATATATATATATATATATGAAGAGTTCAGATGCAAAAGCCTCTAAATGCCATTTGAAATTTTCTTCTTTAATGATGATTTTTATCAAACTTGTATATTTAAGTTCAGTAATTTCACTTAAATGGCAATGATAATTACCTATTAATTGTTATTTAAGTGAAATTACTGAACTTAAATATACAATTTTGATAAAAATCATCATTAAAGAAGAAAATTTCAAATGGCATTTAGAGGCTTTTGCATCTGAACTCTTCATATATATATATATATATATATATATATATAAGCCTATACAGTCTTAAAAATGCTTTTTTGGGTCAAATACAGACAACGCAGCCATTGGGTTACATTTTTAAATTACACTTTTAACCTAATGTTTGAGTTTGTCCATATATGACCCAAAATTGGGTTAAAACAACCCAGCATTAGGCTATCTTCTTTGATAAGGACTATCAACTACCACCACAATCTGCCTTGAGTTTTATTTGCTTGACGAAACAGACAACCACTGTTGTCCTTATTTAGCAACTTGTTTTTTTTTTTTTACTTACGTTTATTATTAATATTAATAGTGTTGTTTGAGGTTTTAATTTATGTCGTAGAACAAAACGCGAACTTCTTGTTAACGCAAGGAGTTTAAACATTTTGAAATAAATTTATAGTATAAATTTAATCTTGTATTTATGTCTAGAAACCAGGTCGATAAATGTATGCAAAAATAAATAGCTTTAAAATAAAATATCAACGGTATTTTCGATGCACATGCGCACTGCACAGGAAACACTTGCAAACAAAGAGGAAGCGCTCGTGTGATTTAAAGGGGACCGCACACAATCCAGAAATCATGTTCTTGTGCTAACTCATTACCTTGTTTTTAAAATGAAACCCGTTACATAAGGAGCTGGGGATTGACTCGTTCAAAATACTGAGGTAAAACAAAATTGAGACGAGTTGCTGTAAAATCTCTCACAGTTCGCGGTTTATTTGGCTACTCTCTGTTGAACATTTCAGCTAAGATTAGCATGTGAGCTAATTCCACGTTGATCAACAAAGCGACACGTAAACAGAGCCACCAAAAACATACTTCTGAATGATTATTCTATCAGTATAAAATGGCAATTTTGGCACATGCTTTTTGAAAATTATTTTTTTTTTAGTATTTTTATTTATTTATTATATAGTTGTTTATACATTACCTCTGCAGCGCATTGTGTTAGATTGTTGGTGTTTTATGTTATAATGGATTAATTTCATTTAACGTTACGTAAAGGTAAACCCACTAGTAGTAGATAATATAAAACTGCATGATCTCTGAGTAAAAGGAAGCAGTATATTGACATTATTGGGAACTCTTAAAGACAAAGTATTGATTTGAATAACGTGACCTTATTTAGCATTTTGTCACCTTATATATGATGTTATTTGTTATAAATGATTATTATTCGCCATCTACATTTTTTCCCAACGTAACCCATTGCAATAAAAAAAGGAATCTAATGTTATTTTGGTGTAATAAGATATTATGGTTTTGTGTTGTTCTGCTTGCAATAATGCATGTTTTAATTTTGACGTGCATTTTTATTTACAAGGTGACTTAAACAGAACAAATTTGTGAGTCACCATTTTAATCAATGTCTAATGACAAATTTTGGAGTTCTAAGAATTTTATTTAGATAAAGTTTGTAATATTTACTCTGCGGTACATTTTTGTATAGGCTATTATTTTTTAATTGACTTAATTTGGTTTCAATTTATATGTTTTATTTTGCATTTTGTCACCTTTATAAATTAATTTTCAGCATTTGTTGTTTGATCCACACAACCACCGTATGTATATATATATCCCTGAATACGGTTTAATCATGATCATTTGCTTTTCTTTTTCTTCTTCTTCCTCCAGAAAATTACCTCGGGTGTGTAAGATGTAAGCTCTCTATTTTTGAACTTAATGCCCAGTTTTTGCTTTGGTGGGATAGTGAGAACACTGAGCAGATCATCTTTGCCAAAACTTTTTAGGAAAACATTATTCAGAACAAATCTAAATTGTCAATATCTCCAGTGCTCGAGAGCTCTCACGTTTCTGTGGGGATTTGCATCCAGCCCCAGTGGCGTCTTTTTCTGTGTGCCACAATTTCGACAGTTCACTCTCAGCACCGGCTCATATTTCCGCGTTTCTTGGCCTGAGTGGCGACGTGACCAACCAGACATGGCAGAGCAGAGATACTGCGTGGAATACGCCAAACGTGGCACGGCTGGGTGCAAGAAATGCAAAGAAAAGATCATGAAGGGGCTGGTACGGATCGGTAAGATTGTGCCAAACCCGTTCAGTGAGTCTGCTGGGGAAATGAAAGAGTGGTACCATGTAAAGTGCATCTTCGAGAAGCTGGAGAGAGCGCGCGCCACCACAAAGAAAATCGAGGACATCACAGAGCTGGAGGGATGGGAGGAACTTCAGGATGAGGATAAAGAACTAATCAATAAACATGTTTCAGGTATTCAAACACTGTTCCCCTTTTTTTGCTCTTCTTGTTTAGTTTGCATCAGATGCCATTACAGACCTGACATATGCTGAACAGTCTCTCTTCCCTTTAATAGAACTGGCAGCCAAAACCAATGCAAGCCCAAAGAAGAAAGTGCAAGCTAAGTTAAACAACAGCAGGCAGTTGTCAGCACCGCTAGCTGATCCAACAGTCAACGCTCCTCGCAAGTTTTCTGGCTTCACAGGTACAACACCAAGAGGGCATGGGTTTTTTCTTCTGTGTATCTTAAGATATATTACAGTTCAAATATATGGAGTCAGTTTATTTAATTTTTTTTTTAAATAAGTCTCTTATGTCTAACAAGGCTGCTTTTATTTCATGTTTAAGATAAGCTGTAAATAAAAAAAAAAACACATTTTAAGCACACAGAATAATATAAGTGGACTTTTTGTAATTGTGCCTTTAAACGATTACATAATTGTGGCATCCATAATTGTAATCACGATTACAAATTCGATTAATTGTGCAGCCCAAAGTTTTAGAGTGTTTTCTTTAACCTTTTAACATCCGCTCTTTCGAGATGTATGTGGAAGAGTGTGCTTAACTGAAAGAAAGCAACTATAAAAGGACTCGTGAACTACCAGTTTCCGATTCTTCATCTGGGCAGACTTCAAACTCTGACAGACGTTACAACGCACAGACAGGGGTTGGATAAATATGTTTTGCTTTTAAAACTGTGTTTTAATGCGAGTATAGGCCTATACAAATATAAATAAACACTTTGCAGACTGTTGTCCTGAACAAAATGACGGATGTTTTTCATGACTCCACTGTTCGATCGCACCCGCATGTCTCTAACTCACACACAGAGGTTACGTTACCTTTGCCTGCATCTTTGCGGTGACACGACAAACATATTTAAGACCTATCCAATCTGAATTTAAGACAATTTAATACTTTTTAAGGCCTTATTTTTAGGAAAATTGATTTAAGACTTTTTAATGACCCGCGGCCACCCTGTTATTAATTTCAATACATTTAAAGTAGGTTATACCTCCTCTGTAGGGATAGAAAATTGTTAAATGAAAACAGGACATGTCCTGGGAAAACAGGACAGTTGGTCACCCTACATAAAGCGATCTATCATTTCATGCTGTCATGCTCTGCCATTTTAAGACAAGGCTTAACACTCTCTGTCCACAGCTACCAAGGCCGGATCCTCTTCCTCCAGTCCTGGACCGTCTCCAGCCAAACCCACTCAGGGCAGTGCTTTATCAGCTCAACTTTGTGACCCCAACCATAAAGACAACTTACTGCGGGAGTTCCGCAAACTCTGTGCCTTAGTCGCAGAGAAGTCAGGCTACAACGCCAAAACCGAGATCATCAGAGACTTCTTAACAAAAGGCTCTGGTGGAGGTCAGCATGAATAATCTGGGCCATCTTTAACAGAGATCACTTTGAGACTGCTTGTGTTAATCTCCCTCCCACATCTTCACAGACAAATTCAGAGGAGATTTGTACCTGACGCTGAAGCTTCTCCTCCCAGGAGTGGTTAAAAATGTGTACAACCTCAATGACAAACAAATTGTCAAGCTTTTCAGCCGCATATTGAATTGCAGTCAGGATGAGATGGTGCAAGACTTGGAACAGGTTTGTCGTATATTTCTTTTACAAAAGTAGTCCAAGAAGAGAAATATTTGAGCCTTTCCTTCATTGAGCTTAATCGTTTTCATACAGGGAGATGTTTCAGAGACAGTGCGGATGTTTTTCGAGGGCAGCAAGTCTTTCCCTCCCGCGGCCAAGAGTCTTTTGACCATCCAAGAGGTGGATGCCTCACTGTGCCGTCTGGCCCAACTCACAAAGGAGGATGATCAGCAGACAG